CGATATATCTGTATGTCGACCGAAAATGTTTTTGAATATCTGCTATTATTGACGGTTGTAAGATCTCGGAACGTGCAAAGACGCAACGCTAAGTTTTTCAAAATTTTTAAGTGAGAATTTTATTTAAATATTTCTTGTGATGTGTTAAATCCACGTATTCTATTTCTTCAAGGATCAAAACTCGCACTATGGATGAACAGGATTTAATGCATATATTATGTTTAATATACGGATGTCGCAATAATTTCATTGATACTTTGATTAATTTATTTGTGATTATTTTTAATATATAAATCATATGCTTTTTAATGGCTATATATAATTATATTATATATATATATATATATATATATATATATATATATATAGGGGATATTATCCTATATATAGGTTCGACGTATGAGGTCAAAGCAGATCAGTTTCCAGAAAAAACTGACAGCCCGACACCGGCACAAAATGATTCGATTATAGTGGTGAAATTTTGCATTGGGACCATCCACAGTTTTTGAAGGGCCGAATACAGAGACCTGGTGCACTGCATGCCACAAGGTCCCTAAACAACCCCCCCTCAGGTTTTGAATTCAGAGTTGTCCTTCTCCTAGACCAGTTGCCATCCAAGGCTATAAAACCCAGTCTGTCCTGCTATTTAACCCATAGCTGAATAGAAGAATAGATTTACACCTTTCCCAATGGTATTAATACGTAAGTGAATGGAATGGAATTCAACTTGGATTCGAACTCGGCTCTGCGATTCCACAATCCAAGCCGATATCCATTACCCCACCGTGCCTGGTCTAGGAGAAGGACAACTCTGAAGTCGTTTGGGAACCTTGTGGCACTCAGTGCACCAGGTCTCTGTATTCGTCCCTTCAAAAAAAGTGTGGATGGTCCTGCACGAAACCTTCACCACTATAATCAAATCTCATATATGCTGTATCGGTCTGTCGGTTTCCTGGAAACTGCAAGATTGACCCTCATACATTCGAAAAAATATACAAATTTTGACAATTTTAAAAATCTCTAATGACTTGTATGCCCTTTGCTTTCAAAAAACACGTTCTTATTTCAACATTTTAGTTTCAAATGTATATTCTAATACAGTATAAGTAAATTTTTTTTGTTTTTTTTTAGCGGAATTGAAAAAGGGAAAATTAAAATTAGCCTCACTTGAATTCGGTGAAAAATTAAATATTTTGAAGTAAAGAAATCATTTTAGCATCTAATTTATAGCAATAGTATATTTTGTTAAAGATTGTAATCAGCCCGACAAACATTGATGGCCTTAAGTCACGACGGGCATTTACGTGTGTGTGGGAATGGGGGGTTAGTGCCTTTACATTTATACTTGTCAAAATTTTCGGAATTGTTACTATTCCAGGCCAGGAACGAAATATATCCGAAATCTTGTTAGCGGATCTACTTCCTCAGACAGAACTCTACATGACATACGAGGGATCACTTACTCAGCCAGGATGCCAGGAAACGGTCACGTGGATTCTATTAAATAAACCATTGTATGTTACAAAAGATCAGGTAAGAATGGTTTTCGTATTTTCTTAATATAAGTTCTAAAACACGAAGGAACAACTTAAATAGAGTGGTCCACTTGTAAAAAAAAAAGCCAAAAAAAATGTCTTCTTTCTCGCTGCCGTAATGGCGTTTCCCTGTGCCTTTTCTATAAATACTTTCATGGCAACTATTCGGATCCATTCTCCCCTATTTATTTATTTTCATATTGTATATATTCATTGGGATTAGTTTTTAAATTGTTGTTTTTATTCCCCTCCTCTCACAGACAATGAATTGTACATATGGGGACTAGTTAGGATTTTCATAGAGACAATGTGGTATTATGGTGGATGTAGTAAGAAAAGTAAATATGAATGCGTTTTTTTATCTTTTTTTGCGTTAGAAATATTGTGGTATGTTTGGGTGTGTGTTTGTGGCTAGCTAAGTTTAAAGATAAGACAGATGAAGACCGCCCTTTTCCCCATTCGCCATTTTGGCCTTGTGCCACATTTTGTAAATATTTACAAATAAATATAGCTCTCCCATATGGTACATAGAAATTATTAATTTAAACGCAGTACTAGTTTTTCAACATGGTCTCACCAATTTACCGTAAGTTCTATGCTAACAGTTACTTTTCTCGCATGTGAAACTCTTCCGGCTCCATGCTTTCCAGTTAAATTTTCAAAACTTTAAATGCAATGCCAATCGTTATCTACTGTTTTCTGATTGTTTCTATTGTTTTTGCATATGTATAAATTTTTTTTTTTTTTTTTTTTTTTTTTCTTATTCATTCAATCTCAAGTGAACCTTTGAATCATAAATTTTACTGCTTGATTGGGGATAAATTATATATATATATATTATATATATATATATATATATATATATATATATATATATATATTAGTAAACATTGAAGCCAACACCCAGAGGCGACAGTCTGTATCATTCTAAACACAATCGTCAGGCCATCTATATTTACATACGTTCACTCCCTGATATTGAGCACTTCAACCCATGAATATCTATACCTAAAAATATTTTATTCTATATAAATATAAATATATATATATATATATATATGTGTGTGTGTGTGTGTGAAAATATATAAAAAATAAACAAAAAGAACTCGTTAGATAAATAATCCAAAGTTCTTTAGTATTTTAGTTATTATTTTTAAAAACTAGTGCTCCATACAAAAGTAGAACTCTTATGTAGCATGTTGGAATTATATTTTTTAAATAAATAATTATATATATATATATATATATATATATATATATATATATATATATATATATAGAGAGAGAGAGAGAGAGGAGGGAGAGGAAAGTACTAGAATGAATGCCATTGATGGGGCGGCATTCATTTCTTTTCCTGCGGAAGGCTTTTGATTGGGCCTTCATCACAATAGGTAGAGAAGAGTAGATGCGGTAGGTACTACAGATGAACTCAAAATTGATCGTTGCATTTAATTATTTCATTAATATTTAAGCTCACCCTTTAATAGTTTAACAATAATTCTTCTGTCCTCACTTAATTTAAAGACGATTTGATGTGCGTAGGTCCTTACTTTCCGTACAAACAATTATTTTTATTTCATGGGTGACTTTCACTGGATTTCGCAATTAATCCCGATTATTCACAAATATATTTCTAATCCATGCATTGTGTATATATTAAATTTTATTAAACGAATTAATTATATAATTCGTCTATTTGGAACCTATTGTCAAAGCCGCATGATAAACAACATATTTCATTTTCCCATTGGGGTTCAATACAAATAGTTTTTTTCCATTCCTAACCCTTGAACAAACAACATAGAGGTGGCCGTGTTAAAAGCTTGGTTCCATCAAATGAAGTTACTTTCATCGATTGTCCTTGGGCCTTATTGATTGACATTACATAGTTCATTCTCACTAGAAAGTGAAGTCTTTTGAATACAAAAGGAAGATCTGGAGGAATTAAGGGGGTTCTTGGAATTACCATTCTTTCCTTCTTTCCTGGACCAGTAAGGATCTCTGCTTCCAAGAGATGACAATTAACCTTGTTCCATTACAAAGCTTTCGAGAGTTCAGATTTCTCAATAGCATAAATGGCACATTTTCTTTTAGTTCCAGCTTGTGTGATGGCATTCTAGGAGGATTCAATGAGTTAAGAAACTCTATTGGATAATTCACAGCCTGCTCTTGTTCAACCACAGTGTCAATGGAAAAGTACTTCATGCTTTCTTTTTGGAATTTCTTGAAGAAGTTTCCAGTTGATGCTATCCAGAGTTTGATTCTTGGGAGCTAATATGATGATCTCACAAAGCCAGTTTGAATCCATGAAATGGTGGTTAATGTTTGGATAAACATGTTTAATCAATTCTTGGATACTTGGGACTGAAACTCCACAACCATTTGGGAATGAAATATCTCCATTTTGATGGTTCCATTGCCAAACTGCAACAGCAAAGCAGCAAATATTACTGCTTGAAGGTCACCTGCGATTCTAACTCTCATGTTTGTTTTCAGGCTGAGTCTTTAAATATGACTCCAGATGTAAGAATTTTTGAGTCAGGTATTGATTTCATCAGCTGGAGTTCCTCTTGCAGTGACTGATAATATTTGTCTAAAATCCCCAGAGAGTAGCACAGTGATACCTCCTATGATTTGTGAATTCTGTCTAATGTCTTTGAGTGTTTTGTCCAAGGTCTCGCTTGTGTGCCATGGTATATTCATCCCAGTAACTTAGCCAAGTTGGATCCTCTTTTCATGTTGTAAATAAAGGTTTCATTGTAGTTCAAATCCAATGGAAGTTTGAAGGTGCTGTATGCCCTCCAGGCAAGAGGGTAGAAGCAATTCCAGATAATTCTACTACTAAAGCTACTTTTCTTTGGAGTGTTACTACAGATAAAAGAAAGTTAGTTACAAAAGTTTTACCAGTGACTTCAGGTGCATCCAAGAAGAAAATCCTTCCATTGTTGTTGCTGATGCCATCAAGGACAATCTGATACACTTGCTGTTGGTCTTGGTTCAACAGGAACTCCTTGTTTTGAACGCATTCCATTCTTTCATGATGCATCCTGTTTCTCCCAAAATTGATGCGTCCAATTTCTCAGTTTGGCTTTGGCAGACAAAAATTACTGAGATCTCTTTGAGCCAAATTCATCAATTTGTCATCACTTTCACAGACAGCTAAATTTGCAATCTGAGGAATCAATACGAATCCTGGATGGGCAAGTCTCATTTCAAGAAGTTGAGATATTCAAAAGTTGAAGAGTCGTGCCACTTAATTGAAAAACTGTGACAAAAGATTTTTTATATTTATTATATATATATATATATATATATATATATATATATATATATATATATATATATAAATTATTTATTTTAAAAAAAGCTAAAAAAAGTAAATATGTTATAAAATCACTACAAAAATAGCCATTTTGTTTCAATCCCCCCGGTGTCTTATCAAGTGATGATACACCAATCATATACTTGGATAGATAGATAGATAGATAGATAGATAGATAGATAGATAGATAGATAGATAGATATACATACATACAAGAATATGCTTTTTACACCGAACGACCGGTGGACCAAGTGGATGAAAGGGCCACCAGATATCAAGCCATGTGATTAAATTCAACCGAGTAATGAGTTCCATCCTTCCCTGAGTGCCCCATACTTCCGGTCCTGAGAAAATCGACGTGGTGCAATGGTTAGCATGATTATCTCGCCAGATCAAATAGTAGTGAATTCGTTTCTTCTCTGAGTGACCCATACTTTCAGTCTTGGGCACTTTGATGTGGTGCAATGGTGCAATAGTTACCAATAGTTACCAACCTTGTCTCACTAGATCAATTCCGACCGAGTGGTGAGTTCGATCCTTCCTTAGCTGCAACATACTTTCGGTTTTGAACACTCCGACGTGGTGCAATGGTTATGAAGTGTGTTTCGCTCGTTCAGTTACTACCGAATAGTGAGTTCGATACTTCCCCGAGTGTCTTATACTTTCGGTTTTGAGTACTTTGACGTGGTGTAATGGTCAACAAATTTGTCTTGCAAGATCAATTACGACTGAGTATTGAGTTCGAATCTTCTTGCGCGCTGCAAACTTCCAGGCTTGGTATATCCCTTTTAGGGTTGTATAGTGGATAGCAACCTTGTGTCGCTAGAAAAACTACGACTGAGTAGTGAGTTCGATCCTCATTGGTTTCCCCATACTTTCGACTTCATCACTCTTCCAAACGATATTTGTTCTGAGAATTCTTCCTGCAAGTCACTTTTGGAGTGTTCCAAACGAACAATTACGATTGCCTCTTTCTAAATTTTTTAGTTTATTTGTTCACTCGGGTGGTTTATTTATTTATCAAATTTACCATAAAAAATTCTTTGATTTGATGGCACGATAACAAATTCTTTGATTTGATGGCACGATAACAAATTCTTTGTTTTAATGACTAAAACCGCAATCTTGCCTTTAAGCGACTTCTCACCAATTTCAAAGAAGCAAATAATGTCATTTTTTCTATCGTCGAAGTTAGGTTCTGATTTGTGTTGCCTGACTAAATCTGATTCGTTAGCGCGAGAAATGTTACTTTTACACATTGTTTTGTTTTGCTGTTAGATAGCATTAAGAGTGTTTACTTTTAAATAACTTTTTTGTTATTATTCAATTTAACCCAAGATGATAATACTACTAAGATGCAACGGGCTACTGGGAGTGAATGAAAATGAAAAAGACCGGAAAACTAATCCTAAATAGAAAACAATGTGTTAAACCTCTACGCCTCTTCAAAATACCGAGGAGGAGTGTGAACCGGGCGATAGGCGAAATTATTCCTGTTGAGGAGAAAATAAATAATAAATAAAATTTAAAATTTTAGGCGGGGACGTTATAAATATAGAGTTGAAATAATATTTAGAAGAAATGGAAACTCAATCCTAAACATGAAACAAGTGTTAAAACTCTATTCATCTTCAAAATACCGGTGGGGAATGGTAAACCGGGCGATATTAACTTATCTACTTTAGTTGAGGAAAACAAACATAAATAAGTTAATTAAAATAAGAAGTAAATAAATAGATAAAATAAAAAATAAATAAATAAAGATAAAAATAAAGAAACAGATAAAATTAAAAATAAATAGGCAAAAATAAAAAATAAATAAATAGATAAAAATAAAAAATAAATAAATAAAGATAAAAAAATAAAGAAACATAAAAAAAAAAAATAAATAAAAAGATAAAAGTAAATAAATGGATAAAATAAAAATAAATAAATAGATAAAAATAAAAAATAAACAGATAAAAATAAAAATAAATAAACAGATAAAATAAAAAATAAATAGATAAAAATAAATAAACATATAAATTTTTTAAAAATAAATAGATAAATATAAAAAAATAAATCGTAAATAAAATTACAGAATTTAGGCGGAGACATTGACTATAAGAAGTAGAGGTGGAGGATTGTAAACAGGATGATAATCGAACTTATCTATTCCTACTGGGGAAAAATACCCAAAGACTCTATCCTGGATTCAATGCTGTTTCTGATCTTCATCAATAAACTTCCTGATATCATCAGTTCCCAAGTAGGCATTTATGCAGCTGACACTACGATTTAATTCTGTCTCAATAGCAAATCCCTCAGTTAACCTGGCCGCTGCTCTTGAAAAGGAACTCTTATCAGTGCTTAGCTGGGGCAAGAAATGGCTTGTGAATTTTAATACCTTAAAACTAAACTGCTCTCATTTAGAGAAACCTTCCTGCCTGCCATCAGTATGACCGATGCTCGACTGCTGTGGAGCGTCTCATTGCATCTTCTTGGCCTCAGGTTTTCAAGTGGCTTGAAGTGGAACAACTACATTGAATCAATAGCTGCATCTACTGCAAGAAAAATTGGTTCATTGTGTCGTGCCAGAAAGTTTTACTTGTCAGAGTCCATCTTGAACATTTACAAATCTACCATTCCTTGGTCCATTGAATAGTGTTGCTATATCTGGTCTGGTGCTCCAGCTATTCATCTTGAGATTCTAGACAAAATCCAAAGAAGGATCTTCAATATAATCGACCCTGATTGGCATCTTCACTCCAGTCACTTCCCTCTGTCTTTTCTATAAAAAAATTTATGGTAACTGCTCTGACGAGCTTTTTTCCATGATGTCACGACTACAGGAATTTAAGCGTGCTGCTAGATTGGCACCTAGGTCCCCACCCCGTTTACTGTTGAAATAGTTAAATCTAACAGCCATTTCTACTCCAACAATTTCTTTTCTCGCACTTCCCGACAGTGGAACTCCCTTCAGTTTCCTTGCTTCCCTGAAAACTATAATTTCTAAAAATTTAAATGCAACGTCAATCGCAATCTTCTGTCGCCTTGAACACCGTTCATCTTTTATCCTTTTCGCAATTCCTCCTATACCCAGTCTTTTCTCTCATTTTCACTCTCTTTAACAAACCCCCACCCACCCCGCGTACCAGTGGCATTCCTGCTCTGCTTGAGGTGAAATGATTTTAAAAAAAGAAGGAAACTTAGCATTTAACAAAGTAGAATTAAAGGATAGAAAAAAATAAATAAATGAATAAATATAGGAAAAAAGAAGATGGAATTAAGGTGGCGGTTAGGTCTCAGGTGCGGGATTAACTTCAAACGTATGTAATTCCGTATCTGTCTATATTTCTGAGATGAGGTATTATGTACACTATTTACATTGCTCGGACTATCATCCTCATCGTTGTTGCTATGTTTCGGCCATTGTATGCTTTTTCAAGTGGTTGACCCTTTATTTCGCTCGCTGGGGTAGATTGCTCTAGTTCCACGTCTAATGGATGTTATGAGTTATCTGCTAATTCCCCTCTCCAAGTTCTCCACCGCCTTAACCAGGTATTGAACTCACACTCTTGTCACTGGATTTATCTAACGTCTTTATCCACTGTGGCATGTGTACTTGAGGACATCTGTGTATGAATTTCTGGGTATTATAAACCTAGTGTCTCTATTTTTTTACCTGTGTTCATATTGCAATTTTTGCAATGTATGTATTTCCGTATGGAGCTTAGGCAAAAATCATAACAGGCATCAGATATTTAGATGTTTGGAATGTAATTACATAGTGATTGGGAGTTCAATCCTTGGGCCGAGTAGTGCATACTTACACTGAGTAATACTAAATACCTCAGTAGTACTAAGTAAGATCCTGACAAGATATCCCTAAATAGGGTCAGCGAAAGCAGAATAGCCTCGTAAAATAAAATAAAAATCAATTCTAAATTAAACAGAACAAAAGGTCTTTCTACATCCTCCCTACAAACCAGATTTAGCATCTACAGATTTTCATTTCTTTCGATCATTGGAACATTTTACAGAATATTCATTATCAGCATTTATTCAGTTAAGACTGATATTGCATAGCAGTTCAGTTCTTTTATTTGTTTCTAACGAAATTTTCCCGTTTCTTAATACTTTACTTAGCTTTTGGAAGGCACCTTTCACTAAGCTAATACGCCTCCGGATTTCTGTGTTTACTTGCAATTGATGTTTAGTCTTTTCTTCTCGAGTTCCGACACTATCTTCTGTAGGAGTTCTCATAGCCTCCTTTCTGTGTCTGCCATCAAAACTATGTCATCTGCATGTCTTATATGGCCGTCAATAATGAATCATTGTCGGGTTTCTAATTCTACAGTTATAATAAATGCAAAAATATACTTTTTACAAGAGGACCATATAAATCTGATTAATAAGGACACTTTTAACACCTTTTGATTTAGTGCCCCATTTTTAAAATTTTATGACACCGTGCCTGTATTTATAGGGATAGAGTTTCAAAAATCATGCATAGTACATTTATAGATCTTCTTGTCTTGTCTTGATGCGGCATTCACCCTGGGCGGATTAAGCCGGCTTCTTCCTGTTGACGCACCGCATCACGCACCATTGCTGCCCACGCTCGTCGGTCTGTCGCGAGGTCGCACGAGATGGTAAGCCAGTCGCGGTTCCAGCGGCGGAGGCCGACTTGTTTTGAGGGCCGGAAAGTAGCGCCAGATCCTCCAGGATCGTTGAGGCCCACGTCTTCAGCTGTCCGCTTATCCGCTTCCGCCAGGTGGACGGCGGTGCGGGAAGGAGAACGTCCCGTATCATTTACCCCTCCTCGACCGGCGCGCAGCGTGTCCGAACCATCGCAGACGCCGTTGAAGAAGGACTGCGGGCAGAGGGCGTAGACTGAGGCGGCGGCGGAGCTCATTGGTAGGAACCCGGTCGACGCGTCGAAAGTGCAGGATGCGACGGGAAAGAATTTTGTAAACACCTCCGTTTAAAAAATAAACCAAGTTGAGCGGCCAGGTTTTTTAAAAAATAGGAAAAAAAGATCGAATGATCGCCTGGAAGATTAAATTTCGTGGTGGCTTGATCTCTCTCCGGTTCAAAACAATAGCTTGGAGACATAAACAAAAAAGCTGCGCATTTATAGATATATGCTGTCAGTTTCACACATCATTACATCTTCCTCTATTTCTTTCTTTCTTCTTTTTCTTCCTTTCTTTCATTCATTATTC